CCCACGACTTACGTTATAAGCAGTCTACACTGTATATTGGATTTCGAGTTGGTATGTTCGAATACTCAAGCATTTTAATATTCGAGTTGATATTGCAGTACAGTCCAACCCATTTATAACGATTCCGGATGTAACGGTCTATCAGTTACAGTGGTTATAACGACCATATATCGGTGCCCTTACGCTTTTTGTATGCTATTATTTGAAACTGAGTCCACATACAGCGAACATATTTCAGGGCCTTCTACTTTTACAATGAACACTTCTGACGGTCATGGTAAAAATATAGCGTATACGAAGAAAAAAAAAGTTATAGCAGGCATTCGAGCCATGTGGCAGGCGCCCTCTCGTATACACCGCTGCAGTTTAATTGCGACCAAGATATCACACAACGAAGCGACCATCGCACGCAGATTCCAAACGTTGCTAGCAAGGTCTCAGATGTTTCTTCACAGGCAGAACAGAAGTGAAGGAAAAAAAAATGAAACGAATAGGAAAAATAGAAGGCAGCATGAAGAATTGCGGTCAGATTTCACACGGCAAACTTTTCCGGCGCCGTTCTTGGCATATACGACCGTCAACTATAAACCAACAATGCCTTCGAACGCAACGAGCCATAAATGCGAGAAGCGATAACTTTTGTCGCAAGAAAGTTCGCTGCGCCGCTCAACCCTCTGACACCACCATAAGCCTTTGAAGGTTTTCCACCTTTTGGTAACTGCAAAGACCTGTTGATTAGGGATAATGGCTTCCGCGTGGTCACAGCAGTGCCTTAACGGATAAGCATAAAAAAGAGTAAATGCGAGGTGACAGGTGGTGATGAACATGCCGTTTCGACCCACTGCAAGTGAGGTTATCTCAGTCATCTGCACATAAATGCTCGGCAGAGTAAGGTTCTACAAGTGTGTCATGGTGCCGTTTGCAAGTTCACTGCCGCCGTGTCATGCGAGGCTGCTTGCGCGTGTTGCTCGCAAAATTATTCGTTGTGGTAAACGAGCAGGCTACCCACCACATCCGAGCATGATTCTAAGTGACTCATGCGCGAAGAGCGCACAAACATGCCCCTACATTGGACTGCAAGCGCACTGGCATGCGATGGCAAGAGTACCTAGAGCAAGCAACGTGCTGCACGCAACTAGCCAGGTTCGGCCACTATGTGGACGTTTTTATAAGCGGCTCCATATCCAATGAACTACTGCTATAACGTCCATTTATTGTGCCGCTTTCGATTCCATTATAAACGGGTTCAACTGTATTTCTAGTCGCTTCAACATGAATTTAAATCATTTGAAATTTGCAGTATTTGAAATGAACAAAACATCATATAAACTGCAAGAAAGCTGTAAAGGGGCTTTCACTGCAGTGGAGGAGTGTTGCACAGTGAATGCACTATTGCCAAAGACAGCCGCACTGTGGCAAAGTCTCATTTCAACGTTAAATATATTACCCGCTGTGACGTAGTGTCAGGTTTTGGGCCCAGAACCGCTAGCCAAGAAACAATCGAGCCACGAGTGCACACACACACACACACACACACACGCACGCACGCACACACACACACACTATATTTACACGGGAAAAGCAACTATTAACGGAACATTTCTACACATAGTCTGTCACATGCAGTTCTATGGGAAATCTCTCACTAATTAAAAGTCTCTCGCCGTTTTTTGCTTCGGCTTGGACGCTGATCGCTCGGGGTGACGTGCCGTCTGTCCCGTTGGCGCCTTCAACGTGAGTTGGCCCACGCCACCTCACGGCCTCCTGCCGCAGTAGCAGCAGTAGCAGCAGGAGAGTAGCGGTCGCTCGGAAGCTCCGCCCTGGAGCAACAGCTCTCAGCCGCCATGTTCGTCTCAGTAGCACACCTGGGTCGTGCCAGCCACCCGGAACAGCAGCGGGACCAGCGGCCCACAGAAAACTGGAACTCGTAACAAATCTGGACGGCAGCCGGAACAGCGGAACCTCACCTGGTCCCTGGGCTAGTCACCCAGCCGGAGTCGAGGCCTCGTTCACCGGTTGTCCAGCTGTCAGGAACGGCAGCCGGAACAGCAGCAGATCACGTGGTCCATGGGCCAGTCACCCAGCCATGGTCCAGGACAGTACAGCGCCTAGAGGACGTCTTCTAGTTCCCCGGACCGGTCGTCCAGCCAAGAACCGTCTGTCCTTGCCCGTTTCGCTGCTTCGAACACTGTCATGTGCTTCCTGATCCCGTGCGCTTTTCTTTTTCGTCTTCACTCTTCTGCCCATATTATCACACCCGCACATTCATTACCCATCTTTAAGTTTAAAAGCTTGTTATACCAACTTACTTACTGTAGTATATGTAGTGAAATAATAGAGTGTGAGATATTTTCAATAGAATGTGACATAATAGAATGTGACATATTCTGATGAAAGTCAAATCGTGCTACTATTTAAATTCTTCCATTTGCCTTTAAATGAAAAAGAATGACATTTGCTTTGCACATCACTGGTTTAAATTTTTAAAACGATTACAAAAGGAAGTTAGGTCATGATACACACGCTTTTGTCACAATGTGGGATATACTAACGTGGTTGCTTGGGCGAGTTGGTACGACATGATTCACATAGTAAACAGCATCAATAACGAGGGACAAGAAAAGAAGGAGACGGACAGCACCACTGTCTGTCTCCTTCTTTTCCTGTTCTCATTATCGGCACTGTTTTTTATGTGGGATATACACTATTTGAGTTTGAATAAATTATTTGATCAAATTACACTTTGCTTTGAATTCACTTCAAACCTAGAATTTAGTAATTGCCCATGCTTGTTTTTGAGTGCTAATATGAAGTGATGGCTTTTCGGAGCAGTACATGACGCCACATAGTATGTTGATGAATGATACGAGAAGCACGCAGTTTTTTTTTTTTTTTTTTTTGCTGATGGTGCAAAAACAAAAGGAGAAGTTGTGGTCCACGGCTTGTTTTCAAATTTGCCTGCAGAGAAAAAAACTTGCAGGTTAAAGAAACTAATCATAGTCTGAAGTTTTGAACGTTTGTTCACCACTAGTGAATGGGCAAGCGGGATATGGTTGGACTCATTCACACCGCTCATCTGAACCTAGTTTGTAAAGCACTGCTGCTATGGACTTGTCTTGTGCTGCAACGATGTCAAGAGGGCAAGATATGGTGGAGCACATTTTTAGATACGAAGCAGCATTTGAATAGCCTGTGTAACCCTGTCCCTTCGCACTCGGGTGATGCCAAGTCGGCCACGTCTTCCCTTTCCCTGTCAGTGCATGCGCATTACGTCACTCTCTTCCTAGCCTGTCGCCGTTCACCGCAAGCCATCTCTCTTGCTTCTCTCTCTCTACCGCTCGCAATGCTTGAGCTCACTCTTCACATCACCATCATCTCCTCATCTGCGCCACCTCTCTTTATCTGTCAGCGAGAAGAAGCCGCGGGTATGTGCGCTGCAGGCGCTCGCGCGCCAGTCGTTTAGCCCGGCTGTGGTCCCGCGGCGTCGGCAATGGGGACAGCGCGTTGCTGCTTGCCGCGCGATCACGCCGAGGAGCGGGACACCACAGGGGCATGCTTCCCGCTAGTGTGCGTGTATCTTGTGGGGATCTGAGGCGCGTCCCGCGATTATTTCACTGACACTCTGCCTTACGGCTGCTCCTTTTCCTTTCAAGTGCTCTGGTAACGGCGCATGGCGATAGCTGGTGCCACGCTCGGGCGCCGCGCGTGTTCTTGGGGCTGCGCGAATCAGCGAGGCTGAGTCAGGTGCGCGCCGGAAAGGGTCTCTCCTCCGTTGGCCAGCGCCCGGTAAGCACGTGGTTTTTCTTCGTGCGTGTCCTCTTTGGAAATCGCCGGACCTGTAGCCTGCCTGGGTGCCTAGGCATCCCCGACAGGCGTGTTTGCATGAGTGTTAGCTACGGGACCACACGCTAATCCAAAAGCGGTGCCTAGTGCTTGAAGTAGTTGCACCATGCCTAGCCGCACTTGCCATAGACCTACGCGTACGAGGTTTGCCCTAACTCTCGCGACCAGGCCCAGTGGCCATTGTGAGAATGTGCAGCATAGCCGCGAGGGACCTTTTCCCGACCGGCTTGGCAAAGCTCACCATTGCCAGCTGCGACGTGCTCGCGGTTTCCCTTATCGTGAACGTCCACATGCGGGAGCCTTTGCTCTCCGCGTCCCGGGAGTGGAAGTTGTACTGTTGTTCGGGGTGCTGCCAAAGGCAATAAAGTATTTGTGTACTGCTGTTTAATTGAACGCTGTCTGTTTTGCCGTGCCCCGCTAAACGCTTTGTTAGTGGAGAGCGCGCGGAGTGGTGCGCTACACAGGAGTAGGTGACGGAGATGCGGCCCTGTGCCTCGCTAAGCCTGAACTCGCGGTGATCATCCGCTACAGTGAGTAGCGAGGTCACCACAACCTTTCCCAGCCGACGCCAGCATTGCAGGTTAGTGAAGCCAATCGCGTTCACGAATGGCGACGTTGCGCCTGGAACACCAACGAGGTGCGAGCTGGGGAAGCCGAATGCAAGCGCCGGCAGTGGAAGATCAACGACACCGACGAAGTGCGAGTCAAGAATGCTGATCGCGTTTAAGAGTGTTGTGGGGATAACAGCGATGAGACGCAAGCCAAGGAAGCCAAGAGCAAGTGTCTTTAACGCGTTCCTCCTCCCGTCTCTTTGCATTTCAAACATACGTTTACTCCAGTAAACTGCTACACAGAGTTTTGCTTCAAACCATTCTTTCAGTACCCGCATCGACGCCCGTTTCAAACAAGTCAACACTGTGCGCACTGCTGCTGGTTCGGATCCTATCAGGGTTCCCTTCGGAGAGATAGTCCATAGTTTTTTGTTTGAATCTGTGTCATTTTGAAAGCTGCTCTGCTTATTTTTGTACTTTTATATGTTCAGATGCTAAATCTTCATTTTTAATTGCAGTGCTGGTGCATTTTTGTGTGTATGGTGCTCCTGTGTGTGCATAGAGTGATTGATGTTGTAACCTTTTTTTTTTTTGTTCTTCGTGCAGTATGAGGCGTACATGCCACTGTGTGAAGTGCAACAAGCCCTAAAAAAAGGGGAGGTTGTGGAGGTGAGTCACAGTTACTTTTCACTCAGGTGAAAGGCACATTTAATTCATGGGTGCTTATGCTTAGCCGCGTGCCAATCTAGCGTACAGAGACAGTGCAAGAAAACTGCATAGATTTTACAAGCATGTCTTGCTGAGACATGGTCAGCTTGGCTGCAAAAGGACAAGGAAACCAAGTGAACACATATTGCTCATTTGACTTCACAAGTGAAGCAAGAGAAGCATTCTACGTTCCACCGATGGCCCGATCATTCTGCACATTTGCGTTGCAGTTTCCCTGTGTGCGTGCGTGCAGTTTCTCTGTGTGCACTGTAAATACTATGCACAACAGTGGGATCCTGCACACTAGTCGAAGTTTCTGTTCTAATAATAGGGTGCACACGCAGACAGCAAAGCTGCAAGCGCTGCCAGCTGTTGCCTGTTACGTGCTTTTTGACAGTAGGAAATTACTGTGAAAGACAACAACTTTTGCAGGGTGTGTGAGCAGCAGAAAGCTTGCTGGTGCCGATTTCACTCCCATCGCCAAAGGTCGGCGAAGATAAAGCTCACTTAGACCCACTGAACCGATGTGCTTTTCACTTAGGACTTACTAAGACTCAGACGTGCCAAAGTTTTGCTAAAGCAGACTCATTCAGACTCAGGCTCACAAAATTTTTCGTCAAGTGGATTCACTCAGACTGAAAATCACGAAAACTTTACTTCACCTTACTCACCAAGTCTCATGAAAATTTTCTCCAACCAGACTCAAGTGGACTTCCTCAAACTCAGACCCGTGGCTCGATCCGAGTCTGATTGAGTCGACTCATGAGTGTTTGCCAACACATTGTTCTCAGTTCAGAGTGAGTGGAAGATGAGTGACCTTGTGGTTATGCCTTATCAATAGAAACGATGCTATGTCTCCAGTGTTGTTTGCATGTGGGGGAAGTTCTTTTTTTCATTTTCATAAGTTAAATGAATGCAGGGGTGCAACAGCTGCGCCCAATAGCGCCAATTTGATACCATTCCCGATCTTTGTGTCTAGCTGCACCAAAACTCAAATTTTGTGGAGATTGAGCCACGCTGTGCCTAAATGTCTGACCAGCCTCAAAATTTTCTTAATTGCACTAATTTCAGCACGAATCCACATTTGACCTTGCACGGTCTGTCAAAGGACTTGACAGGTGCACCAAATGCTAATGTGGACTGCATCGTTGTTTGCACAGTGAGGTGTTTCAGCACACTGCTTAATTGAAATAGTAGTGCTCATGTTCACTGTGCACGATTTAAGTGATGTGAACTGGTTTGTACGTTATTTTATTTTCTGAATGTAATCCTTCTTGATTATACTGCTTTAAACTTGTAATTTCATGATAGAAAACAGTTTTTCTTTTGTAATTTGCTCCCAATTTGGATTTTCATGCTCTGAAAGTAACAATTTGCTGCTCCGAAAATTGCTTTGAATTCTATTTCAGTTGTTGCATGATTAGTGTAAATTGCGCAGCTAATGCAAGGCATGAGTTTAAAGATCTGTGCATAACACTATTTCTTAAGATTATATAGTGTAGTTGTGCATTTTGTATGTTTCCCACTTTTACGTAGCTGAAAGTAGGCGCGACGCATCATAAATGCGGTCCTAAAGGTGTACACTTAGTGAAATTAAAAATGTTTCTGCTCTATTCCGTACACACTCTATTTCGTACACACAATAGTGCTCACTAATTCTTACGGACATTTTCTATGCTATTTTGACAGCAAAATGGGAACAGGAATGCCAATATTTCACACTGCACAAAAGAGTGCTTGCTATGTTAACGAGGCCTCACACGCCTGGATGGTCCAATATGCAGAGTTTTGTGTAGTGATTGTAATTGGTGCTATGTATGTTTGGAACACCGCAGTAATTCTTTGTAATCAAATGAGTGTATTGACGTAAAAATTCGTTATAAACGGTGTTTCGATATAAGCAACCACTTGAAATGTGATAAAGCAGTCTAGAATTGAATGTGCTGCAACTGTGAGGAAGTCAAATTGCACAGTGTTCAGTGAAGCAATTACAGGTCATGGCCAGTCACGGAGGGTATACCATGAGATTCTATGGCGCAAGTCAGCCCACGGTCTTTTGGCTACTTTCCGGCATGCAAAAGACCGTGGTGTTACAATGCCACAAGGCATCCTGAGAACATTATTTTTGTGTAGATTATTTTACAGGGGACACCAACGATGTGATTACAACAGATTTTAACTCTTTAGGCACGCTGCACTTGTTTGCTCCACAGTACAGTCGTACGTGTTGGGAACCACAATACAGGCTGAAAAATAAAGCAGTCCAAGAAAGTCAAGACATAGAAATGAAGTTAATAATTAGGGCAGCTTAGGAAAAAAGTTGTAGAAATGCCCAGCTTCATTCTACACTTTGGGACAAGCTGATTTGGTAGTGTTTGAGATACACTAACATCGGCACTTTAGCAACCACTTCCATGAACCGTGGTGAGCAGCACAGTCGATGACTCAGTCCGTGCTCAAACCTGCACCAACATCACTTAGTACGCAATCCTTCGGCATTTCGCCTACATTTATATGCGACCACCGTGGCCGCAATCGAACCTGTGTGTTTCAGGTCAGTACCCAAACACTGAGCGCCCCGCCGCGGTGGTCTAGTGGCTAAGGTACTCGGCTGCTGACCCGCAGGGCGTGGGTTCGAATCCCGGTTGCGGCGGCTGCATTTCCGATGGAGGCGGAAATGTTGTAGGCCCATGTGCTCAGATTTGGGTGCACGTTAAAGAACCCCAGGTGGTCTAAATTTCCGGAGCCCTCCACTACGGCATCTCTCATAATCATATAGTGGTTTTGGGACAATAAACCCCACATATCAATCAATCAAACACTGAGCAACCGCAAAGGCAAAGGCAACTGCTCGTGAACACTAGACATACCATCAGTGTGCAGAATGAAAATGAGAAAAAAGATCTCACGAAGAAAGAAAAAGCGTATTAGTGGTGATGATAAGGCTGAGTGCAAAAGAAAAGTTGCATCCTCAAGAGTGTTTTGTGAGGAGTGGGCATGGCCTCAAAAACTGGACTTTTCTGCATGCTGCAAGTTTTGGAAGCCACTAGAAACCAAACTTGACCAAGCCAGTGTAAAATCTAGTGTGGTCGTTTCCAAAATCGAGCAGTAGCTCAAAATGAACCATTTAGTAAAAAAAAGTCTAACTTTACGGCATAAATTCATCCCAAAAATTGTTCATGAAATGTAATGGGAATCCAGACGGTGCATTTATGAAGTCCGAAATATTGATCATGTCCAAGAAATTTATCAGGGGTTCTAAATAGCGGGAAATCCCGGGAACTAGACTGCAAATGGTCATGGGCATGCTGCTTTTATGCCCTGTTCTGTGCTTGCATGTGATGTCAGTTGCGTTAGACTGACACTGCATGCACAAAAGAAACACTCAGCAATGCCTCCACTTGCCACTTCCTTCTAAGCAGATGAAGCTCTTTGTGTGCTTTGAGTATGTGGCTTTATGTGCAGGCGTTTGGGTCAGGCCAGAGAAAATTTCGAATCAAGTGATATTTCTAGTAATGCGATTTCATTATAACAAGGGATTGTGTTGATGTTATTCACACACATGCTACTTTGTGCACGAATCGGTTGCAAGTAAGCGTTTCTACCATAGCCTTGTTCACATTTAGTGCCTCATCATTTTCTGCCAGTGTAAAGAAGTGAATGATGCTCGAAGTGAATGTGCATTGAACCGGTGCTGTTGTTGCTCTTTGCAGGGGGTGCTGCGCATCAACCCAAGGAACTATGAGGACTCCTTTATCAGTGCGCCGGTAATCCTCGGTAGTCCTCATTCGCTAACTCCTTCCTCTTCCCCTGACTCCCTCTTTCTCATTCTCTCTCTTCTTACTAACGGCCTCTGCCTCTCACTACTGCTGCTCAGGGCGGCTGCAGCCCCAGCCATGTTAGCTTCCGAGAGTTCGTCACTCGTTTTGTTTTAGTTTTGAGTAGGGCAGTTTTGTTATCAGAAGCGGCTTTCTGTGCTTTGAAGGGGGTGCACAGGAAACCAGCTAATAGGCACACAAATGGTGCCCAAGGCAAGGTCATTTGCACCGCTTGGCTAGGTGTAAAAAAACTGGTGTAGTGCCAAACCTGTGTGCATTCCAGCCTTGGGGAATGAGGCAGCAGAACTCCTGTCTCACACAAGATGCGAGATGATGTAAATCTCTGATGTCATGCTAATCAGATCTGACAGTGTAACACGCAGAGCAATGAAATGAGGCACCTAGTGACAAACAAGTGCAGTGAGTAGCTCAAGCCTCGTGTCATGATACACATGTGTCATGTCACCCAAGTGGCCATGCAGATTCATAGCTCCCCCTCAGCATTGTAAGTGTATTGTTGAGAACAAGACATAAGGAGACCCGTATTGTCCTGGGCAGAGACATACCAAGACATAAAGTAACAACGTACAAGTGCATGTACAGTGGTACTGGCACGAAAATTTCCAGTTACCTATCACCTTTTGCGTCGAATGAAAGGCCAAAGCCATCAAGAGCCTGGAATATGTACTGTTAAGTGTGACTGTGGGCAACTCCAGCAATTGTTATTGCGTACTGTTAAGCTCGAGTGCGCTTTGAAAAATTAAGTTAATGTCCTCAAAAGGTACTCTTAGTTTTGGCTGTACCTTGACGTCTCAGTGTGGTATGAGCTTCTCGTTCCGTGCTTGCACAAGATATTCTGCTGTTTCCATGGTGACTATGTTTTGTGACGCACGAGTAGCCATTTTGCATGTTTTGGTACCTGGCATCATCACAATCAGTGTGAAGTCATCAGAATTGATACTTGAGCGTGATATCATGCTTCTGTTGATTTTAGTAGGTGTGCCATGTAACAATTGACTGTAATGTTAAAATAAAATATCTTGTCAGTATTTGCCAAGCTTCACGCTTGGGCAGAGCTGTCTGTCTATGTGTAGGAGAAATTAGTATGGCGGAGTAAACTCTCCTTCCTAAATTAGTGTCAGTACCCTTTTAAAAAGGGGCTTCGCAACACTTTCTTCAAGTAACCATCAAATGGCTTATTCAAGGAGTTAGTTGCCACCGATTAATAGGAATAAGGTTCCATCCCGACCAATACAGTCATATTTTGATGGAGGCGCAATGCGAGAGGTCTGTGTATCATTCAATGTCATTGCATGCCAAAGAAACCAGATGGTTGGGATTTCTGCAGCCCTTCATTTTGGCATCTCTCTTAGTCTTATTGCTACGTGCCAGTGGCATTGCAGCCAAACAGGGCAAGAGGAGGACGACAGAAGACAAAGTGGCGCGAGCCGATACTGGCAGCACTGCTCGTTTGTAAGTGCATTTGTAGCTGCTCCTTAGAGTCTGCTTCTCTCCTGTAGCATACTTGGTGGAGCGGTGCTATCCCCGTCTTCACCACGGAACTCTGCAGCGAGCGCTCGCGGCTTTCAATATGATCTCTCGGGACTCAAAAAAAAAAAAAAAAAACATCCTCCTCAGTCATTACGCCTCGTGCCCTTCCTGCTAACCCACCGGCCGCAACAGCTTTCATCACCTTGAAGGACTCTGGCATGTTCTCAGGCCTCAAAGGTTCCAACTTCGACCATTGGCTATGTCTGCACGAATGCATCAGCACCAGTTGCAAGTGGTACCTCACGCTCATGCTTAGAATGTCGTCTTTTTACCTCTACAAAAGCCCTCCTGTCTGGTTCGGCACCCACGAGCATGACATTACAAGCTGAGACAGTTTCAAGGAAAAGATCCACGAGCTGTTTGGCAAACCTTCTCATCATCGACAAGCCACAAGGAATGAATTATCAACTTGTGCGTGAACTTTCGCCGAGTCCTACATCAGTTACATCTAGAATTTACCAGCCCTCTGCTGCAGAGCCGACGAAAACTTGTCCGGGCCAGAAAAAATTGTGCACATCTTGAAGAAAATCGTAAGAATGTTTTTTGTCTGTTGGTGCAATAGTTCAAGTACGCCGCCTGGAACAAGCTAAAAGAAGGCGCATCTCTCTGCAGTTTCAGAGCCTGCCAAATACTGCAGCCACATTATCTTGGCTCGACACACATTTTCTGCAGGACACTGGCAACAACTTAATATGATTTGTCAGGCATAAACTTGAAGTGGCCACTCCAGCTAAAGTAACACCAACGTTCCCTGACCCATCACCCACAATCCTCTCGCTGATAATTCAAGCAGCCATACGACAGAAAATCGGTAATGTGAGTAACTGATCCATTGTGACGCCTCCTCGAACGGACTTCCACCCACAATTCACGCCTGCTCATCAAAACTCATCTGGCTTCCAATCAGCATTCCACTATTCGTCCGCATGCAAAACACAAGATGACAGGCCCGTATGGTTCTCTTGTCACCATATCGGCCACATTTCTTGCCATTATAGAAGTTGCTGGGGTCCTACCACACCAACATTCCCATGTTCCTTCATTGCTCATTGAGTTTATCGCCATGAGACCAGCCCTGACCACTTTTCCTATCCCAGAGTGATTTCCGCTGACCCTACTCTCCATCACCTCAATGTCACAAGTCTCTTTCTCCGCAGCCCCGCCGACTATCTTTTTTTCTCCTCCCAACGGTGCTGCTCGATGGAAAACTAAGTGTTGCAATCCCTGGAGGTGGCGCTGTATCATTTGAACCAATCGAAAATGCTTTGTTGGGCATACCAACCGACTGGAACCTTATCGATGTACAAGTCGATGGTGTGCAAGTGACTGCTCTTGTTGACACTGGTGCTCAGCTTTCCACCATGACCACTGATTTGTGCTGCAAGCTAACGGTAGAGCAGCATTTGCCGTTCGGAATGTGCTCCGCTCATGTAAGCATCGCTGACCGCTACACAGTTGTTCTCTTTGCCATCCTCAAAAAATTCCCGCTTGATGTAATCCTAAACCTCAACGTCATGTCAACGCATTCTGCCCTCATTGACTGTTTGGCCAGCACGCGCCATCTCCACTTGCCTATAACAGACGCCCCCCCTACACCACAGCCGAGTCACCTCTGCATTGCCGAATATGCTCATCTTCTGCCCCAAAAATGACTTACGTCAAGCTCCTCTCAACACCACCAGTTCTCAACGACAACTGTATAATGACCCTATCAGAGATGTCTTCATTAACCGCAGTGTTGGCTTACCACTCGCTGTTATGTCTTTCTCAGGGAACTCTATGTGCCATCTAGTAGTGAATTTTAGTTTGATCCCTCAAGGGCTGCCGCAAGAAATGTCTTTGGCATTGCTTTCTACCTTAAAAGACAACTCACTGGATGCTTTCACTGTGGCTGCTCCTTCCGATCCCCATGCTCTGCATCAATGCACTGCTTGCCCTGACAGTGCTATTAAGTGCATGATTGCTTCCAGTTCAGCGCTGCAGCTGACAGGAAAGCTCCATCGGAATCTGCGTTCCTACATTGACGTATTAAATAGCCGCGGTTGCCCATTGGGAAAAGCTACTGGTGTGACCCATCGCATCAGCACTAGTGATCAGACTTCTATTCTAGTCGTCCATATCGCGTGACAGCGACTGAACATAAAATTATCCCAGGTGAGGTCGACAATCGCCAAGCACATCATTGAGCCACCCTACAGTCCTTGGGCATGCTCTGTTGTGCTAGTCTTCAAGAAAGTTAGCACATGGCATTTCTGTGTTGGCTATAGACACCAAAACAAAATTATTAAAAAAGGACATGTACCCTGTGCCATGAATAGATTATGCCTTTGATTGTCTCTATGGTACCCACTAATTTTCTTCTGTCGAGCTTTGCTCCAGGTACTGGCTGATTCAGGTGGATGATGGGCACCGTGAAAAGACTGAATTTATCACTTCCGACAGCCCATATCAATTCAAGGTTATGCTCTCTGGCCTTTGTGAGGCTCAAGCCACATTTGAATGAATGATGGACTCTCTGCTCAGAGGTTTTAAAGGGTCCACTTGTTTGTATTAGACTATGCCATTGTTTTTACCCCCGACACATGAAACTCATACAGAGCATCTGTCAGCTATCTTGGACATCTTCTGTCTAGTGGCTAAGGTACTCGGCTGCTGACCCACAGGTCGTGGGTTCGAATCTCGGCTGCGGCGACTGCGTTTCCGATGGAGGCGGAAATGTTGTAGGCCCGTGTGCTCAGATTTGGGTGCGTGTTAAAGAACCCCAGGTGGTCGAAATTTCCGGAGCCCTGCACTACGGCGTCTCTCAATCTTATGGTGGTTTTGGGATGTTAAACCCCACATATCTATTAATCTTGGACATGTATGTGTGGGACAAAGAAAAAAATGATAAGGTGCCTCTTCGAAAACGATCAGCCATATGACAACCTTCCGTATCCCCTTCTATTAAGCTACTAAATGTTAACTGCCGTAGTATTGTAAACAAGTCACTTGAACTAGAACATCTGATATCGATACATGATCCGGACATTGTTGCATTGACAGAGGCCTGGCTTCACCATGGAATCGTCGATTGCGAATTTGTTCCCCCAGATTATTGTGTTTATCGCAAAGATCGTGATTCCAGGAGAGGCGGTGTGGCGTTGCTCTTTAAAAATAACATACAAATCGCTAGAATGGCCGACCCCACTGGCGTTGAGGCCTTATTTTGTAAGATGTGTCGCGACAAACAGTCCATGGTCATTGGTGTTGTTTACAGACCCCCTGGTACCAGAATTGATGCTTTGCAGAATTTAAAGGAATACATTGGTCTCCAGATAACGAAAGACACGAAACTTGTGCTCTGTGGTGACTTCAACCTACCTGGTATTGAATGGCCCACCTTCTCTTCTGGTACTAAT